GCGGGGGTAGGAGTACCCGGCTCTGTCGTGGTGCCGGATGGTGTTGTTGGTCCGTCTGTTGGACATGTCAGTCTTGAGAAGGCAATCCGGCGCCCGTCTCAAACGTACCCGTGGACTGCGTGGCAGATGGAGCGGGCGAGGTTGCACCATGATGACTAAAAGGCTTCTTTAACCACCTTTTCAGCGAACCCATAATTTCTTTCACGCGTATAGCTTCAGCGAGGATACTTGTCCCGGAGAAAAGAGGCTATCGCAACAGCAGCGATATTGTGAAGTTGGCGGCTGCATTTTGCGCGGTTGCCGCGGAGCGGAGCTGAAAGATGCAGCTGTCTCGCTTGGCGGACGCCCAAGACAAAGCTATGGCGCTGCGAGCACTCGACGCAGGTTGATACAATTGGTGAAATCTGCATTAGCCAGCTATCAGGTTGCTGCGCTACGGCTAATTCCAATTGGCTGTTGCAATGAAGCCGTCGCGAGGGGCGTGACGTGGCATTTGGAGACAAACTCTCGATTGCTGACACCGGTTGCCGAGATGCAGAGTCGGCTCGCGACGTCGGTCGCCGTGTTTTGCAGGGCTACCACTTTGGCTCGTCGGCATGGGCCATGTTCTGTAACATCGCTGTCTTAGTGGGCGGTCAGTGGATTCCATAAGTTTGGAAGGAAGAGAACCCACTTGAATCCGGCACTATCACTGAGTCTGTGTCGGTTGTCGTGGTATCCCGCGGCGTTCGCTCTCCTCCAGTGGGTTCCATGGCCTCGTGATGTGAATACTTGGTAGTGTCCAATTTTGGGGACGTCGCGTTCTTAGGCGGAGGTTCCTTCTGCCCATGGTTTGGAGATGAGAACGGATTTCTGCTCGCGACGCCACCAGGGCCTCGCTGGTCGTAGTATCACAGATGACTCTTTGCTAGAATTCGGGGGCGTGCAGAGATGATGTTAATAGACTGTTATGTGGTAGGCCTGCTTTTCCGACATAGTGTTGCACTACCCTGTTGCCTCCACTGAAATCCTTCGGGAAATCCTATCGAATATTGCTTCATCTAGCTCAGCATAAGGTCGACCGGCTGCTCTCTTGCCCCATATCATACCCACGAGAAGCAATGGCATTCACGTGCTCAACCATCTCCAGTTAGGTCTATCAGGTCGCTTGGCATCGAGCCAGAGCAGAGTACCAGCCGATGCGCCGTTAGATCTTATACCCAGGCGTCACAATCCCACTCGACCCAGTAATCAATCACACTGTCTCAATTCTTAGTCGGTCTGTGAGGTTCACAATACCGCTTTTCCAGCCTGTTTGTGAATGATCTTCGCAAAGTCCTTCACTAGGTGCTTGACCCTGTGCGTTGCAAGACTCGTGCCCGTAATAAGAAGGATGTCTAGGCGCTGGAATAGGTGAAGTGGTGTGGTGACAGAGATCGAGCCAGCCCACGGGTCCTGTTTACTGTAAAGCACGATATCCGGTCGAAGTTTTCCGATTGCGGTTGCGCGTTTCCCGGCTGCCGTTCTGGCTTCGGATATCTCGGCACAGCCGGGGCACGGAAGTTCCTGTCCTGCCAGGGTTTTGGCTTCTCGGCCACACTCGTCCCAGCAACATGTGATAAAACAGTTGGAGCATCGCAAACGGCGGAGAGATCCATGGAGGAGAACACATTCGATGCCTCTGTTAGTCTCTTGGAGTCGTGGCTCGTAGTCGACTCGGTGGTGGCCTCGGACATCTCTTGACTGGTATTTCCTGCAGAACCGAGATAGACTTCCAGGACCCTTTCGCAAATCGGTAGACAGGCCAACCTTCTCTTCAAGGCAGTCGATGTTCTGGGTATAGTCCCGAACCAGCTTTCCAGCATCACGCAAACTAAGGATGAAGCGGTGTGTTCTTGTTGGACTGGCGCGCTTAACGTCATGGCGCATCTTGGTGATACCACTGTAGAAGACAGGTGTAACGAATCTCAAGCCCCAACTTCTGAAAGGGATTCCTGAAGGTATGACTTGTCAATGGGGTGAGGTTCGGTGAAGCCAAAGGGTTCACGACAAGTGCACAAGCAATTGTCTCAACAGTCGCTGGGCTAACTGCTTGTATTGCTTACTGAAAAAGCTACTGCAGTGCCTGTAGGCGCAGATCGTGAACTATACACAGCTTCCTCCCCCAGATACCTGTGTACCTGGAACATTTGGAACGTTCTCGTTCCCTTCATTCCCTTTCTGATTGGTTAACTAAGCGATTGGTCTCCGACCTGTCCTGCATGCTGGCTGCAGCCCTCTGGGCCGCTAAGGGTTTATTTTATGACATGATGCAGGACTGCGCCAGTTTAGGTCGGTTCCCCCGCTCATCGCCAGCATGCGATGTGGACCGGCAATCTGCCTTCGGATGTTGTCGGCGCCGTAAGAGATTGGCAACCTTTAGAGCAGCGTGTGTACTGATTGCCAGGTCTGCTCCTGGCTCGGGCGGCTCTGTTGTAGTGTCGAGGCTTTCCCACGAAGAGCACCGTGTCGGCTGAGTCAGGCTGTGTGAGCCACGGTCGCGTCCAGTTCGACGCTGGCCAGCTCGGTCAGGTTGACGAGCCCCGGGGCCGGTACTCGCAGCGCGAGCACGCTAGGTCGCTGAGTTCACGTCGCTACGTTCTTGCTCCTTATGCACTAACCCCAC